GTGCTACTGTATCAGAAGTACCGCAAGGGGGTGGGCTTAACAAACATATTTATTCTCGCCCACGTTAAGAGGCTAGGATTCAGAGTGTTGGCGCTACGGGAAGGCTTTCTCTCTGTTGTCTTTGGGATGAAGGCCCTCGTCTGACTCCTTTCAGCATTGATGAGCCTGGTGTTCCTTGGAGATCACCATGTGTCTTGGCATCAGTCTTCCCCTGGTCCACAGGATGTGCTCTTCTTTTTGTAGTGATTGTTAGGTATTGCCCTCTCTGCTTGCTGTTCTCTTTTTCTGTCTCTCATAAGATAAACTCCCCTTACACTGGAATCAGGACTGTGGACCAAGACAGGGTGTTGTATCCTCACAAATGATTCCATCAGATCGCATGATGGCAAGATTCTATCATTACGTAACCACCCAACCAACGATGATGGTGATCCAATCAAGTTGATATATATTTTGGGGGGACACAATCCAATCCATGACATAGGCAAATTTGTTTTTTGAAGCAGCCAATTTCTTTGTTTAATTATCGCTATAAGTTGGGTTTGGAGGCACTAACTGCCCGTGTTACTTTGGGACAATCAGGAAGCTCACTCAAACTGAAACCCAGTGAGGGATGAAGGTGTTAACACAGACTATGCTTTGAAGCAGCAGCATTTCCTGAAGTTTGGTTTCTGTTCCTTCTGATTTACCTACTTGTTGTTAAGTGCCATCAAGTCAGTTCTGACTCATAGCAACTCTGTGTAGGGTTTCCAAGGAGCTGCTGGTAGATTTGAACCATCGGCCTTTGAATTATCGGTGGTTAATAGTCCAGTGCTTATCCTATAGCACCACACCAGGCAAAATGCATCTATTTGTTTCAGATTTTTTTTAAGTCCCTGATAGCTTCTTTAAAAGAGATTTTATTTATTGTTGCCTTGTATCAACTTTGGAAAATTCTGGGAAAAAATGTAACTGAAGAGGAGCAATTGAGCAAACATATGACTCTGAGCCAAGTGTTTTGGATGAACAGAAGATTCTCAGAGTAAAACCAGGCACTAACTGGACTCATTGGAGAGAAAGTTCCAGTAGGGGAATTTCTCATCCCTTTTATAAAGGCAGAGCTCCTGGTGGTGCAAATAGTTTACACACTCAGCTGCTAACTCAAAGTTGGGAGATTTGAGTTGACCCAGAGACAAGTGGCTCAGAAGGAAGATTTGGTGATCTACTTCTGAAAACTCAGCCATTGAAAACCCTCTGGAGCACAGATCTACTCTGACTCACATATGCTGTCACAAGTCAGAGTTAATGGTGGAGACTCACTGTGTTTCCATAGCAGCTGAGATCCATTGTTTAGATGGAAAGAGGAAAGAGTTTCTGTTTGTTTCTAACATGAACAACTGCCATATGTTGATTATAGCATGCTAAGCACTAGTCCAGTTACCCTATGAGATTTAAGTATTTGCGTGATCTTCACTTTAAAGATGGAGCCAGGCAGGATAAAGGATCAGCACAGATCAACATGGATCCTAAATTTAAGCTCCTAAAACACCCTACCACATGGCAGTCTTTATTTCCAAAGTCTAATATTTTTTTGCTAGGTTTCCCTTTAATGCAAATAGGACATTTGGTCAAAATCTGTCCTCACTAGTACCACCCAACTGTCCTTACCTTTTCTTTATAGCTTCTAGCAGTTCAAGATTCAAACACTTCCAATCTCAGAGGTAATTTGCCATAACCTCACCATTCCTTCTCCTCTCAATCCTATGTCTGAACGATCTTCCTATAGCAGTTCTGATCATGATGCTGCCGTGCTCAAAAACCTCTATGGGCTTTTCAGTTGTTACCCACATAAAGCCGTACAGTCATAAAATTTAAGAAAATAGGGTTATCTTCTTCTTGTTGTTAAGTGCTGTCTAGTTGGTTCCAACTCATAGTGACCCTGTGGAATGGCTGATGAGCTTGAACCACCAGCTTTGTGGTTCAAACCGACTCTGTGGTCCAGTGCTTGTCCTAAGCGCCGCACCAGAACTCCAAGGTAACTTTGGTTGGTTGGTTATGTATTGTGGAGTCGGTTCCGACTCATAGCGACCCTATATAGGGTTTCCAAGGCTATGAATCTTTACGTGAGCAGAACACCTCATCTTTCTCCTGCAGAAAAATGTTTTTATTCTTCCAGTTCTGAGGTTGAGGGACTGATGTTTAGCCACTTGCTTGATGTCCCACTTCAAGGCTGTGACAGAAATAACAAAGAGTGGAGTTTCTATCTTCCAGGCGCTCTTAATCCTCAAAGCCCTCCATAATACCACCCATTGCACTGTTGGGTTCTCATGAGTACAGCTACTTACACACTGTCACCTTGCACCTTGAAGTCTGTCCACCTTAGCCAGCCTTGAAGTCCTCACCTACAACATGGAAGGAGAATAGTTCTTATTACTCTCGTTTGTACCAGAGTAGAACTGTGATCCATAGGGTTTTGAGTGGCTGATTTTTTATTTTTATTTTTTAATAAATCAATCAACAGGCCATTCTTGTGAGGAACCTCTGGTCGGACTTGAACTGCCAACTTTTGGGTTAGGACCCAATCTTGTTAACTTTCAGCTCACCAGCTGCTCCTTGGAAACCCTGTACGGGGTCACTATGGGTCGGAACTGACTCGATGGCACTTACCAACCAACCAACAACAGTTAATACATTAATATGACTGCTTGCATGTCTTTTAATAGCTATCTGGGGTATATACCTGAGATGGAATTGCTGAGCCATAAGATATTTCTATTTCTGATATTTTTGACGAAGTGTCATACAGTTTTCCATAGTGGCTGTACTGTTGCACAGTCCCAAAAGCAGTGGCTATGGGTTTCAAAGTCCTCACATCCTTACCAGAATTTGTTGTTTTCTATGTCATTTTTAATCAGTGCCATTTTTAGCAAGGGTGAGGTAATACTTCATTGTACTGTATTTCCTCTCTCTAATGGCTAATGATCACAAGTATGTTCATGTGTTTCTTGGCCACTTGAATGTCTTCTTTGCTGAAGTATTCATTTGTGTCCATTGCCTGTTTTGTAATTGGGATGTTTGACTTTATGATATTGAAATTTTCTATATATTTTGGAGTTTAGACCCTTACTGGGTATGTCATATCCTGAAGATTTTCTCCCCTAGTCTGTAGGTTTTCTTTTACTGTTTTAAGTTTTTGGTGAGCATAATTTTTTACTTTTTATGAGGTTCACCTGACCCAAGCCATGGTATTTTCAATTACCTCATATGCATGTGAAAGTTGGACAGTAAATAAGACCATAGAAGAATTGATGCTTTTGAGTTAACGGTGTTGGAGGAGAATACTGAAAGTGCCATAGGCTGCCCGTAGAACCAACAGATCTGTGTTAGAAGAAGTACAGCCAGAGTGCTCCTTGGAGGCCAGGATAGCCAAACTTCGTCTCTCATACATTCAGACATATTGTCAGGAGGGAACAGTTGCTGGAGAAGGATATCATATTTGCTAAGGTGAGGGTCAAAGAAAAAGAGGAAGATCCCCAGAGAGATGGATTGGCCAAGTGGCAGCATCAGTGGGCTCAAGCGTGGCAACAATAGTGAGGGTGACCCAGGATCGGGCAGTGTTTTGTTCTGTTGTGCATAAGGTCACTATGAGTCGGCACCGACTCAATGGCACCTAACAACAAATGAGGTTCCAGTTCTCCAATTTGTCTTCTGCTATTTGTACATCTGTAGTTGTGTTTAATGATCTATTTTTGGAAAAAAAAAAAAAAAAAGGTGCCATAGTTTTGTTCCTATCTTATCTTCTAGGAACATCATAGTTTTAGCTTTAACATTTAGGTCTTTGATGCATTTTGAATTAGCTTTTTGTATATGGTATGAGGTATAGATCCTGTTTCAGATTTTGGCACATGGATCTCCAGTTTTTGCCAGCATCATTTGTTAAAGACTGTATCTTTCTCACTGAATGGCCTTTTACCCTTTGTCAAAAATCAGGTGTTTATAGATAGATGGATTTGTTTCTGGGTCCTCAGTTCAATTCCATAGGTCTATGTGTATGTCATTGAACGAGTATCAGGTGATTTCTATCACTGTCACTATATAGTATGTTCTGTGGTGTTGGTGAAGAATGTTGAAAGTACTAGGAATTGTCAGAAGAACAAACAAATCTGTTTTGGAGGAAGTACAGTCTGAATGCTCATTAGAAACAAGGGTGATGAAACATCATCTCTTGTACTTTGAGCATGTTGTCAGGAGGGACTAGTCCCTGGAGAAGGACACCATGCTCGGTAAAGTGGAGGTTCCATGAAAAAGAGAAAGATCCTCAATGAAATGTCCTAACCCAGTAGCAGCAACAATGGGCTCAAACATAGCAACAATTGTGAGGATGGCACAGGACCAGATAGTGTTTTGCTCTGTTGTATATAAGGTCACTATGAGTCAGAACCAACTCCATGGTACTTAACAGCAACAACATCAACAATAGTATGTGTTGAGGTCAAGACGTATGAAGGCTTCTACACTGCTCTTATTCTCTGCACTACTTTTATTCTTTCCATAAAGTTGGGAAACATTCTATTTTAAAAGGTAAGGAACCCTACATTTAAAAGGCAAAGATTATTATTGATTAATTTTTCACATCTCTAAATGAAAAATACGCATTTGAAATTAAGTCTGTATACTGCTTTCTATTCATTTAAAACATTCTTTAAAACGTTACACACACAAAAAGCTAATAAAGCTTTAGTTCCTAATAGAAATGATTCACTGTTGTTAAGTATCTATATAGGCATCTCCCAACAATTTCTCAACCAGGCATTCTTGAATTAATGCTAATGAAAGCCGCCCATGCTTACGTTTCTATATGAACACTGAGATTGCAGCTGCTCACACGTCTGCTGAGGGATGGGTGTAATCATTTTCAATTGGCCTGTGAGCCCAAAGGGAACCCCGATAGCAGGAGATTGACAGATGCAGCATGGATTATCTTGTGCACTGAGCTCAGCCCAATTTGTGGTTTGTTGCAGGTGCTAAAGAGATTGATATTGCCGCGACCCTGGAGCACTTGAGGGACCAGAGACCAGGCATGGTCCAGACAAAGGTACTGTCAATCATTCCTCCGGGATGGGAAATACATTAAAGGTGTCTCTCTGAGGTTGTTTTCAGGAGGGAAGAGGGTGAATAAGGCCTAATCAAATGTACATCACGAGCTGGTTTCTCTGCTTCCACTCTCTTCCAAAGCAGTCTGTCTTAGGGTTAAGATGTCTCTGGCCCCATCCTAAGAGGTTTACGGTTGTTTCTGGAAGCAACTCGAACATCTAAAATAAATAAATAAAAATATAGGCAGTAACTTCTCAAGTAGTTGAGATCCAAATTAATTGGGACTTCCCACTAGGCAAATTTGTAGGGAGGGTAAAACATTACATTTTTATGCACAGAAGTAAAGGAGAGGTCTGCCCAGCTTCCTGGTTTCCTACACCTAAACCTCAGCTCTCCTGCCTGGTGGTCATCAGGATTGTGGGAATTAGAATTGTCCCCAGGGGACACTGAGGTCCTTGAGCATCCAGCACACCTGTTTTGCATATTTGTTGAAAGGCCAAGTTGGCAAGTGTAGCAGTAAAAACAACAACAACAAATTCTGGTTCACAAGAGCTAGAAAAGAGGTTAAATATCTGTGCCCAACAACACCAAAAGCTTTCGTATATATGTACCTGAAGTAAGGGGCCTTGGTGGTGCAGTGAGTTACACATTGGGCTCCTAATGGAATGGTTGGGGGTCCTTACTCACCAGCCACTCCACTGGAGAAAGATGAGGCAGAATGCTTTACCACTCCGAAAGCCCAAGGCAACAGTTCTCTGTGCTATAGGGCCACTGTGAGCTGGAAGCGACTGTTGGGCAGTGGGTATGAATCAGATTGCTAACCTCAAGGTCGGCAGTTCGAAACTACCAGCTGTTCCACAGGAGAAAAATGAGGCTTTCTGTTCCCATAAAGATTTATAGCCTCGGAAATCTTGTGCAGGGTCACTATGAGTCAGAACCAACTCCACAGTACTTAACAACAACAACCTTAACCCCCAAATCAAACCCACTCCATCAGGGAGTTGATTCTGTCTCAGCAACCATATAAAACAGACTAAAAGTGTCCATAGGATTTCTGAGGCAGTAAATCTTTTCAGAAGCAGAGTACTAAAATTGTGAGATATAGAACCTTCTCTTTCTCCGTGAATCTTTTTTTTTCTTTCTTTTTTTTTTAATAAGTTTTTATTGAGAATTGAGTGAACGTTTACAGGGCAAATCATCAGTTTTACATTCAACAAATCATACACTATGTTTCATTACAATGATTGTAATCCCCTTCATGTACCATCAAATAATAGCATTTCTCTCCATTTACTTTAGCTCCTTTTTTAAAAAAAAAACACTCAGGCATATATAATAATTTACACCACCAAAGGGCACATTCTGCAAGTCTGCCTCCTGGCTGCCAGCTCTTAGTTCCTCTCTTCCCATAAATCTAGAGTCCTCAGCTGCTCCCTCTCGCCATGTCCCCATCTCTGCCTCTATCTCTGGTGTCGCTGCTTCTCTGGATAAAGTCTCTCATTCCGCTTGTGCTCTTTTCCCTTGATGGTCCTAGGGTCCTCTGTTTCTGGACTGTAAGATTAACTACTCCCTTTTGTTTGTTACAAAACTTCTACCTTTACAATTGTGATAGTCGCAATTTGTCATGATAACAATTATTCACTATTGAACCTTATGAATCTTATCCCCATCTCTTTTCACCAGACCCATCTAGACAAGATGACAGCGATTCAGTGGGGACTCTTTCTTTCCCCCCACACTCTTAAACTAAACTGCCTCTTGAAACCTTGTAAGCCAGTCACTTCGTACCTTTATTGCCCCATCATTTTAGGTAGCCAATGTCTAAGTTGCCCATCCCTAGCTACCCTATGTACAGAGGGGATAGCATTGATACTTGATGTGAAGACTCTTTCCCTCTCTGTTGGTATTTAGAATAACTACCGTTCTGAGTATAGGTCAGGTTCATCTAAAGGAAATTACCCTTGTTTCCTTTATCAAAAAAAAAAAAAAAAATTTTTTTTTTTTATTTTCCTTTAGGCGGCTTCTGATTATCAAGCCATCGAGGCTAGGTCAAATGGGTACTGTCTGCAAGTTTGGGTGTTCTTGTGCATCTCCCCTCACTTCATATCAGCTGGATGCTTCAATCTCAGCTGTAGCCCTCTGTGGCTGACTCGTCCTCCATGGGCTCAAGTGTCCTCAGGTCTCACCACACTTTGGACCAACCAGCCCTTCCTCTTCTCTCTCTCATCTCCAGGTCAATGGGATTCAATGGTCTGGGGTTGAAATCAGCCCATTTCTTCACTGCTGCCTTTTCTCTCTTCCACTCACCAGTAGATTAATGTGGTCGCCAGCAAGCGTACATGCTTGTTTGAGTATTCCCTTTGAGTTTCAGTCTTAGAGGGGAGTTTGTCCTGAAGGCACTTGATGTTTTCCTGGCGAACAGTCATGCTGACATTTTTGTTTTGGTTTTTTCCTGATAGTCTTTCTTTGAAGATGTATCTTCTGTCACTGTAGCTGTTCCAATCTGCTTGTCCTTTCTAGTGGGAAAGTCCCATCTCATAAGGTTCTGGATGGGACTCAGGATTCCACCTAAGGTCCTATACTCTGCAAAGGCTTTGCATAAGGCCTATTTCACTGGACAAAGTTGTAGAACCCCTTTTAGGTATTCCAATCAGTTATAGACTGAAGACAGGCTTACAAGTTTTCTCTAATCATGTTCCCCAACATTCCTTTCTATCCCACTGAAGTGTCTATTTTACAATAGTAGGCAAGGGAAACTAATATTCATAAGGCAGTCAAAGATTTTAGTATTTACCCTCTTCAAGCTATACCTAGATCCCTAGATCCCAGAGCCCTGATGTTCCAAGGTTGATTATGCATCACTATTTACCTCTGTCCCACTAGGCCATGCAAACCTGCCTCAGTGTTCCCCTATCTTATCTTGTTCTTCCATCTCCTCGCCTCTTCTTATATTGCCCTCCCCAAAACCCATAATAAACCCCCCACCCCAACCACATTGTGGTTCCCTTATATTCTATTAGTTCTACCCTCCATTTAAAACAGTCTGTTTTATCCAGTAATCTACCTGACCTTCCCACACCTGGATCTCTGTTCCTCTGTGTTTACCTTCTTTCACATTGTAATTGTTTTGATCATAAACTGACCTCCCAGATCCTCTGTTCTTATAATTTTATTCTGTTCTTGATTCTTCCATTTGTCAATTGAGTTCAGGGTGATGCTGCCACGTATGTCATTTTCTAGTTGTTGTCTGTTCTTGTTGGTTCTCAGTCCACAGAACTTCCTTCACGACGTTTTACATAGCAGGGTTGGCTTTGGCAAAATCCCTTAGCTTCTGCTTATCCTGGAATGTTTTGATTA